CGTCGGAAATTTTCATCAGTACATAATCAAATGGAACAAAAGTGTTCTGTACATTCCACAGCATAATATGACAGACTAGAATTATTACATAGAATATATGACACAAGCAACACCGTTTAAGGTGAAAATCATACTCGTGGTAGGGTAACATTCGAGGAGTAAGGTGGTGGACATAGTTGAGCAAAATGTGAACGTAATCAAAGTGAAAACAAAAAAAAAATGCTAAAACATAACATTAAAGCGAGAATGAGACCGAAACTCTATAACAATTCCTACAGTTCGTAATCGAAAAACAAGAAAGGTGTATAAACAAACCAGCTTTCCAAAATTATTAAACAAATGGCATCCAACCAACAAACATCCGACTAAGGTTGTCGACGCTTGTTGCTTCAGCGAATAAGCGACGCACCTTAACATTACACTTAACCTTAGCAAATCTATTAGTATGTTAAGAAAACAAACCAGCTTCTGGAAACTACCGGAAGTAACTTGTTGCATTATTTCGCACTATTTCAAAACTATGATGAGCAGATTAAGAGTTGAATAATAAATCTAATAAAAATCCAACTTCACGCTTGCTACCCAAGTTAAATGGAAAGAAAGTCATTGGGTATTGATCAGTCTGAGGAGTGCCCCGCATTCGGATTCCTTCAGTACATAGTGGCGTTTTGAGTGTGTATCTAGTACAGTGACTTGCGGTGGCCAGCCGATGAGCAAATCAGTGCTTTGATCCTCTCAGACGAGTTTGCTCCAATTAACCGCCCCAGAAGGGATGGAAGGTTTGGTCGTCCTTGGCGGATATCGACCGGGATTGGAACCCGTGACCATCCGCCCATGTTATGATATTTTATTACGCTTCCTCAACCTAGAATTGGGGACGTTTAGATGGTGCCACTTTCATACAATAACTTAGTCAAGTCGGAAGACATTAGGATTGGTGCTGCGACCCTGAAGACTTCCACATCTCTTCGGATTATGAAGGTTCTCGGGAAGACAGCATTAGTAATACTGTGGAATGCTACAACAGTGAATCAACCGCAAGTTCCGCAATACCAGCGACTGCGCCTAGCTTCCAAAAATAGCTATTAGGCTATCACATATGTATGTTCTACAGAACTGGGTGCTTAGCATCATACTGATAGTATATCAATATCATCTCAAATACCTGATGCTCAACATCTTGCACTCCGAATGTGTCATCCGTTCCACTCAACTTGTCGCGAAGTCTTGCGATAGCAGTCTCCGAGACAAATGAGGGGCGCTCGCCTTGGCTCGATTCCACTTCTTCGAAGTTAGAGATTGTCTCACGAAGCAACACTGAGGCTAGTCCGAGAATAACCTACAACTCATTCGTACCACAGTCATCAATTCATTTATACTTCTTAGGAAATCGACTCGAACCCACATGCTTGCTTTCCCGGAGCAGTCTCATTGTACGGACTGCCCCTTCTAGAAGTTGTCCATCCGTCCCTTCAATAAGAATCGGATCCAAAAGATCTCTTGTGAGGCGAAACGGAACCCTTTCAGGGATGGGTAATGTTCTTTTGCTGTACTCTAGGATCATACCTGCAACAAAAATAAAGATACCTATTTTTCATTGAAGCCGCTAACCAACTTTTAACTTTCTGTTTTTTTTTGTGTACTATTTATTCAACGTTTTTACTGTTGAACAATTATACTGTATTTTAAGGGTTATCTGATGCTCTTTCTCTTGTTTAAAGCTTCATTCTGCGGGAATCTCAGACGAATATATTAGGTTGGCAAATAAGTCCTGCGGCAAAAAATTGAAAGCGTTGAAAATTTGTATCAACAGTGTGAACACGGTAGCAAGGGTGATAGACTTATAGGAAATTCCTCAGGCAATTAATACATAAGTAAATAAGTGCACGCGTGTGGGCTTTCAGAGCATTACGGTCAATGAATTGACAACACCCGATTCGTACCATCACCTTCTAGTAAGCACGCCGAGGAAAAAACGCGGGTGTAGCGGCTCGAAATATCAGCAATCTGTTCGATGCTAGCACTGCTCACCGATCGACGGTCAACAATCGGTTGGATCGCTTCACTGCAGGAGCCTACTAGCCTTTGGAGTAACGCACGCATCATCCCTTAATTTAATGGAGGTTGAAGGAATCCATCCGCTATGAGTTGCTAAACGCAGACTAGGTGGACACAGCTATCGCTTGCCCCTATGATCCCCTTAATTTGGCCAACGGGGTTAGAGAAGGGCGATCAAACCGTAAATCAGGCCCCTACAGAGGGACAATTCACGTCGAAAATTCGCTTTAGACCCACGTCAAAAGTTCACCGATCCCGATTGGTTCCAGATTACTCATCACTCCTACTCCCGGAGTGTTACCCCTTTTACCTACCATGTGCTCTCCCTTTTTGAGCATCCCGTTGTGGAAAAGAAATTCGTAATTTAATGTGATCCAAAAACGGTGGTCAATTACTTCTTTGAGTCACAGCTCCCTCACTCCTGAAGAGATGGCATCAGTGATTGTCTCAAAGGATAGAGGAAGGTTGTTGACTTCTATAGTGAATATTTTTCCGAAAACTGATTGATATGAAAAAATTTAGAAATGATTTAAAAAAGGTCTCCATTTTGTCGCAGGACTTATTTGCCAACCTAATATAAGGAGCTCTCTATGAGCAGATTCGTAACACTTTGCTTGATAAGTCTGAATTTGGGCGGAAAATTGTGAGGTGTCAAAAAATATTGTGAAAGCGTGGAGACTACGCGTCTTTTCGATTTGCAGTACTATTATCTGGTTTCGAAATTCCCATTTCGGGTATAATTGGACTTGATAGCGACTGCCCGAAGTCACAGGCGGAGGTGGATAACGAAAAACTGTGGGTAGTTAGAGGAAGGACTTCAAATGTCATTTTCGACCGTCGCCAAGCATTTGGGAAAATTTGGAAAGTGAAAAAGGTGTATTAGTGGGTAACCCGTGAAGTGAACAAAGAGCAGATGTTCTTCACTTCTCATGAAAAACGCTCCAGAAGTTGAACGACCTCGCTATGAAGCATTGCCTCATCGGACACACTCACTAGAACTGTCGGCAACGGATGGCCATATTTTCAAGCACCTCAACAACTTCGTCAAGGGCAGGACGACCGAGAGTTAGATGGACGCTGATACCCTTCAGGGTCCTCATTGTTCCAGAAATTCGAGTTTATATCACAAGGAAACTCCTGCTTTTGTAAAACGATGGCAGAAATGTATCCATTATGATGTTATTTGATTTAATAAAGCTTTGCACGTTCGAGGTTACGCATCAAAACACACAAATTTTTTGTACACAACCTAAAATTAAATCGAGCGAGCGGAAATCTCACCCAAATCGATATGGACCAATTTGCAGGTGTCCATTTCAAAGAGCACATTGCTGAGGTGACGGTCACCAAGGCCGACAACATACGTCACTAAATGTAAACAAAGTTTTGTATACTGGTATTTCACTTTATTTTGACTAGAGTGTACACACTACTCGTAGCTGATAAGTTTTCCCGAGACTGAAAATTTTGAATTTTATTATCTCGAAAACAACCTTCGAACTAAAGCTAAGGAGGATCATCCTGCACTTTACTAATGAATCGCATCATTCGTAAAATTTCTGTTTGGAGGGCTGGCTTGGAAAACCCCATCTTTTGCACCTTCCCTTAGGCTACACATTAGAAGGTGTGTTCAACCCTTTAGGTACAGGTGCAAATGACAATCAACCAGACCTCGAACAAAGTAACAACTCCCTTTCCAAAGCAAAAGGTTATTTGTGTTCTGTGGCTACAAATATTTTCCTAAACATCTATCGAAGACACAATCGCCGAAATCAATGATTTAGTCAATAGTAATGGAGACCCTCAGCAACTCTGGCATCATTTTCCTGGAACCTACCTATACTCCATTGGGCGAGACTCCGTCTATAATTGGCGATCGCTTGGGTCCAAGATTGAACTGTGCTGTGCTGTTCATAGAAAAAGTGCCTGAAATCACGTGCTGAGGGTCAACACTTACAAGTTAAAGAAATAGGCCGCAGAGGTGCAAAAAACTTGATTGCAAAATTTTCACTGCTTATTAACGAACGGATGTTAGCAAAACGCGGATGGAACTACCTAAACACTGGTTTGAAGAAAGCACAGGCTTCACGAAACATCCTTGACGCTTCATTTACTTGCGTTCTGGCGGCGTCCTTCAAATTAGTTCGCACTTGCAGTGCTTTCATATTTCCTGGCTCTTCTCTCGCATGGAGGCCACTCACAAGATCCGTTCCACATAGAAGCTCTTCTGAAGAAGCAAGCTATTCATTTCGACATAAAAGTGCTTGACTCCTTTACAAAGCAAACCCACTTACTCAGCGATACTGTCCCTTGACAAAATTCTATGATACCACACTTGCTATCTAAAGGGACCACCTGCAAGAAAAGTTAATTGACTCTAGCTTGACAGATTGAACACGTCAAACACCCGTATACCACTTAGATATTTCATAAAAAATTGGCTTACCTTGTAGGTGCGCAGGAATGCTGAAGGCTCTGAACGATTTAAGATTCCGTTAACGACTGAGAAAAGTTGCTCGACGAGACAATCCTGTCGAACGTCTTCGTTCTGAAGCTGACTGAGTAAGAGCAGCATTTTTCATAAGTTTAGTGCCAGGACCATCGATAGCAGATTACCTTCCAAATGATTTTGTAAATTTTTCCATCGCTTCCTTTCGTTCGAAAAATTTTGGGAGCTGAAAGTCCATCAGCTTGTATACAGATCCGCTCCATTGCTCCCCACATGATAATATTGTGGCCGGAATAGTCACATGCGGTACCCAACTAAGAAATTAGAAATATCGATTCCGAGGCAAAACCTTTGAAAACGATGTAACTACCTTCTGATCAACGATGGGAAGTGGTACTCGCCTGAGAACATCCGCTTGGGAAATTATGGACAGTCCATCCATCATTTCATACTGAGCTGCAACATGACAGTTGTGCATGGCATTTTCGGCAACTAATAAAGGAGGAGAAATCCGAGTCAAACGAGCTCATGTGGGGGGAGGGCATCAAGATTACAGGAGTAACCTTACAGAAAAAAGCTTCAATATTACCGTTCCAAGTAACTAAATATAGGCCAGTGACCCGCACAAGGAAAGCAGATCCTGTCACGAGTCAGATCCAAAATCTAATCACCTTTATTTCCAGGAAGCTGCCGTTTTTTGAAGAATCGCGTGTCGGTTATCTTAACAGAAACAAACTGTATGTAGGCGACATGAGCAACGGTCATGTCCTCGATAATTTCATGAAGCCGAGATCTTGCAGTTTTATCCGAGACACGTCGTTCAGCCTCCTCTAGTAGTGTATCCACAATATATGAGTGATTCTAAAAGCGGGAAAATGGGCAGAGATGGCAAATGGCCTAACTGAAGAATGGCGAAGCAGAGCTGTTCGCATACCTCATTAAATTTATACATGAGAACGGTGTGTAAAACATGATATGGATACGCAATTATTAGTTTTACAATCATCTGCAAGAGATTAAAGGTCACAATTACTGCTTCCACAATAAAAAGCAAAAATATGAAAACATCCAAATGATATGAAATTTCAATACTTACTGTTCTGATGACAGGAGCCAGTATGCTTTTAGCAAAGCAGTGAGACATCAGATGGCTAACTACAGGAACCCATACAGCTGGCACCATACCGGTGGCAATGTATCCCTTAAATGCAGCACTATTCGTGAACCTACGTTCAGAGAATCCCATTACTTTACCTTAGGTGTTTGAGCTAACTTAGCCTTCGAAGATCTCACTAGAATTTCCTATTTAGTCGATGATGAAAACAAGTTTATATATTTTTACAGTTAAGAAATCGCTTCTGGATCCACAGATGACCAGCATATTGGAGTCTGCTTTCTAACACATCTCTCTCAGTGCGCACATATAAGAAAAATGAGCATAGTATACCACTATCCTACTTACTATAAAGCGCTTCGTGTCTGTCTGTCTGTCTGTCCGTCTGTCTGTATGTCTGTCACGAAATTCCTTAGCTCCGTTAGATTTGCCTGGAGAGAATGGGTCAAGCGTGGGATGGGTAGGCCATGTCCCGAGAAGTATAAAACACACATCAGCTTGGCGGAGCCCCGCCCACAGTGGGCGTGGCGTGCATCGAAATGAGCTGTACTGAGGACCACGATTTCAAATTCAGTCACAAAACGGCTTCAGAAGCGGGGTTTAAGGGTGGCAAGAGATGTGCGTAGATAACTTAGATCGAACTGGGGAGACCCANTTTATGAAAACATTTATAATTCGATATGGAGAAAGCCAACAGAGCGGGAAAAAGTCGATGTGGAAGAAGCATCGTCGAAGGTGTCTCCACCATAAATGACGGCAGCGGAGGCCCGTCCACAATGGGTGGAGCGTGCCTCGAAGCTCACTTCCCTCCTTACATTTATATACGAAAATTCGTAACTCCGACTTCCACGGACCTAGAGAGTTCAAATTTGGTAGAAGTACAGGCGGCATGACGGGAAAACTTATAATGGGTGGCAGGACCAGACTCCGCCCACAAGAGGCGGGGTTTGAGCAGAAATTCATAAGTCCGATAAAGAATGAATGAATGAATGAATGAAATCGGCTCATGTGGCTCCGTCTCTCATGGCTAAAGCCCTAGCGCACGCGATAGCATGCGTAGCCGCCTGGTTTTGGCATAATTTACCTTCGCAGTGCACTTCTCTTCTGACAACTCAGCTGCCATGTGTTCCCTCTCACAAAGTCTGACCGGTGATTTTGCGACAATTGACTAGTAGAACTTCACCTATTTCTAAGCATCAGCCAAGTAAGGTTCTTCCCTACATTCAAATCTACAAATGCTTAATTTTACGAAAAAAAAAAGAATCTATTGTTGTTAATATAAGTAGCAGTAGGAAATCTAGGACAACTTGTGGTGCAGGGGACACTGTTTGTTTTTAGATGTGTGGGCAGTCAAACGAGTGAACTCCTCTAATAGTTCCGTCAGTCCCGGCTGTAGTTTATTACAGCAGTGCTCCGCTTGTATAATGCGGTGCGCGCAGGCCTTACCCGCAGTATAATTTGGTAAACGGTAAGATTGCTGCTCACCTTGAAAGCTTTGACGACGTCCTTATCATGATCAAACCGAAATATTACATCAATGAGTGGGAAAATGAGTCTCAAGATGTCATCATTTCGTTCCGCCAGTTGACACGGCTGTTTTACGTACGGTTGCGAGAGTAGCCCTGATGAATTTGATTTTGAATTTTTCATTCAATCTAAACAAAAGCACGGCAGAGACTTCAAAAACAGGAAAAACAGACTAAGAGCCTCTAGACCAGCAGCTACAGTATCAACAGCCGTCGATATCAACTTTTGCTTCACAGTTTGCACTGCCTCTTTCTCGCATCGTAATTCACACTCAATGCGTCGAGCCGCATGAGATGGAGGACAAAAAAAAAAGGGTTGATGAGCGAAATGAAATGAAAAGAGGGAAGGAACAATGAAAGTGCAGGAGAGTACCCTTGTGCCGCTACGCTGCGTTGCCTTGTCCATTCGCGGATTGCATCTTCTCTCATACGGAATGCTCTCGATTCCATGTGTTCCTCTATTCCAGAAAGCTGACGAGCTGACAGGCGATGCAGCAACGAGAACAGTCGGAGACGGGCGTCACAGGAAATGGATCGTTCTTCAATGCCCTCGATTTCCTCAAAATCCTCATCATTGAGACGTAAGAATATTGAACATCAGAAATACTATAAGGGAACAAATTGATTAGTGTTATGATAGAAAGCAGCAACAGACATGCTCTAACGACTTATCTACAGACGACGGACGATCAATTTTTGTTCACAAAATATCAAAGGAATGAGTTCTGCTAAGCTTGTGAAGCTTATCATACTGTAGTGGTCATTTGAAGGCCAAGTGGAGTTATTAGGTTGAGTCATAAGTCCTCGGACAAAATGATAGCGATGACTTCTAGAGATCATAACTCGGGAAAGAGGGCACGAAAATGGGCGCGTGTGGCACTGTTAGATAGAGTATAAAAAGCTCTTCGAAATACAGGCTAACTAACACACCTAACTGTTTCCTTTCCTGCAACCATGCCCCATCATTTCAAACCGTCGCAACTCCACCTCCGCAATACCATCTTATTTCTTTTTTTATCTGGCCAAGAACCCGCGGAAATCGATAGACGTATGTATTAAGGAATTTTACAAGAAGGGTGCTCCTGCTAGATGCACAGTTCACAAGTGGCACACGAAGTTCACGTCGGACG